GTTCTAACGGCCGGCTACCCACCCAGCCCACTGAGCAGGGTGCTTGGCAAGACTTTGAGGAACATATTCTGCTTCCAGAATCAACACTGCATAGTGATTATTTCTCTCTCTCTCTCTTCTTTTTTTCTTTTCTTTTCCCCCGTCACTTTATTTTAAATCATCCCCACTTTCCTGAAAGAACAGATTTGGGGAATGGGGACCACTCTTTCAAGAAAAGTTAGAGTTAGTGTTTTAATCACCCAAAGGCAGGGACTATAAAGAACACATGACTGCACCACATTTTTGTGTTTAAGTCAAGTCAGGGTTATGACAGTGATTAATAACACATTGACTAAAAAAGTCAGCTGGCGTGATGACGAAGGGCAGATTTTTCTGGTTTTAGTGGAGAAAACAAAAAAAGCATATAATTGACTGCATTCTATTCTACTTGAAAAGGGCTTTCTAGCTTTTTTTAAAAAAAATCTTCATGCTTCTGTTCCATATCAAACTTGGAATTCTGTGCTTTAAAAAATGTGCTATTAACAAAATTTCATCTTGGCAGCTGGTTTAAATATTTATTTAAGAATATGTAGCAGTCACGGCACTTAGAATTTCAAACAGATGGTGGGACTACTCTGGCACTGTGCATTATTGGCAAAAGAAGATTATTTGAATTTTCTTAAAGTTGTGTTGCTTTGAAGTTTGAAGGGACATAATTTACCCTCTTCTACTCTGTCTTAGGAAAGCACCACGAAGATTTGCGATGCTCACTCAGCAATCGTGACTCTGAAGATGTTTCCAGCTGTTTAGGAGAGCGAATGTTAGTGGCCGGTACCCACAGGAGTCTCACCTCCCAGCCCCTCCCTTCCAGCTCACTTGTTCTCTCTTCTTGTTAGGACATTTGCTTCATTTTCTGGGTCTCTGAGACTTACTGCTGGAACATTTTTCCACACTAAGACAGTTCATTTTCCTCATCAGGAAAGATTAAGAAAAGAAAAGAAGACTGTGTGGAGGTAAAATGCCTGTTGCCAGCATTTCTCTGCTGACCTCGGTTATTAATGACTCCAAAGTCCACATCTTGGTAGAATCTTAAAGATACTAAAGGTTTAGCACAAGGTCTGGCACACAGTAGGTACTCAGTAAATCTTGAACAAATATTTCCTTCAGTTAGACCTTCCTTAGCTTAGTTGGACTCGCTGGTAATTATCTTATTTGTTCAGTTATTTATTCATCATTCAATCAGAAGATATTTCTTGAGAGCCTTCTAAGCGCCCACGACAATACCATGATTTTGACGAATATTTTGCCTATACCTTGCTCTTTATCCACAGGATTTTACTGTAAAAATAAACACTTTAATTTTGCAAGCATTTTTTTCTATTTGATTCAGTAGTTTTCTCCCAACACAGCATAGCTGTTTCACAAACAAGGTCAAGAACCATCCAGATGACTCAGTCAAGTGGTAAATAAAGTTTAAGTAAATGTTTGGTCTGAGATAAAGACATTAATGAGCATAGGAACTGCTTGAGGGGCTTGGTTGAATGCAGATTCCTTGGCTCTATCTGCAGAGATTTCAATTAATCGGTGGAGAAAGGGGCCAAGTTGTAGTTTTCAACTCTTTCTACGTGATTCTAATTTGCAATCAGGGTTGAGAACCACTGAATTGAGGGCAGCAAAAGATACTGGAAGTCAGCACTGATAACATTTCAGCATCAGTGATTATTTAGTGACAGCTTCTGACTGTGGGATGCTATGTGAAGTGAAGGAAACTAGTGAAAGCTTTTCTGAGCAGAAGTATGATGTGATCTATACCATGTTTCTTGAATTTGTTTTGCCAATTAAAAATTATACTGTCGGGCTCGGGTGGAGCGGAAGACACATGGAGCTGTGGGAGGACCCGTGGGCTGTGCAGGGCGCCTGCGATACGTGTTTTAGAAATAGATGTTATACTTTGGTTTGAATGAAAAAAATGCCTCTCGATACACCTGTATGTCTCAAAGAATGAGAAGAAGATAATTCAGAATTTGTGGAAGTAAAACCTATTTCCATAGCTGTAGAAGGTCCTCTTCAAAATTTATCCTTAGCATCTCAAAAAGTTCTTCAAAAAGCTCAGCAAAATGCAAGAGTAAAGTGTCTCAAATGTGGCGGTTCAAAAATGTTCTCCTGCTACACATGTTATGTCCCAGTTGAAAAGGTACCTGTTGAACAGACACCATGTGTGACGCATTTGCTTTTAGAAAGCCTGCCTGGGAAGGGAAGATAAAACATGACAATGCCCACTGAAGGCAGGTGGACATCATTAAACATCGAGTGAAATAGATGGCAAAAGCACTGCTATCCGTGCAAAACTCTTAGCACCTGAGTTTGTAAGTTTATAGGTTTTAAGGTATTTATACATGTCCTTGTATTCCAGACTATGAAGAAAAGGACCATGAAGTTGCACCTATTTTTCCTGAACCTATGTCTGTCTCAATAAAAGGTATTTCTTTTCATTTGCAAAAAAGGATTCAAAATAATGTAGAGGCAAAAATGATGGCCCTGACAAGCTACCCATTAAATGCAAGAAAACTGAAGAAACAGGATTTGAATGACATTAAGTGCAAAGACAAAACACTGAAAAAAAATTTATTTACAGATAGCACCTGGAACCAAACAAACAAAAATATTCACTAATGAGAGATTTCAAGGGTTGCTAGGAGTTGAAAACAAGAAAAACTTGCTTTTGGAGCCATCAGAAGGGAAAGCCAGATACTTTCCTTTCCACAATGGGAGCCATTTACTACTTTTTGGTAGACAACCGTACTGATTTATTAAAAGAGAAATACAAAGGACAACTTGATAACCTTCTAGTTTTCCTACTTTTTTATGTACCAGTTGATAAAGAACGCCAAATGCCCTGGAGACAAGGAAACAAGAAAGCTTAACCGTTAGTTTTTAAGAAGTCACTTATGTCGTTTTATTTTGCTAAAATCAATAAAATTATAATTGTGCTTTGTTTAAAAATAAATGTCTTTTTTTTTTTTGCATTCTTGTCTTTTTTTTTTTTTCCTTGTCTTGTTTATTTTTGGTGGGGAGGTAATTAGATTTATTTATTTATTTATTTATTTATTTATTTATTTATTTTTATTGAAGTACTGGGGATCAAATCCACGACCTCATGCATGCTAAGCACGTCCTCTACCACTGAGCTATATACCCCCCCTCCACTTTACTCTTATCCATTGCCCCTCTCTCTGTCTCCCCAGAGATAAGCACTGATGTCAGTTTGGTACCTATATTTCCAATTTTTTCTATTCATTTGCATTTATAGGCTCTCATGGAAATATAATTTTAATACTATATATTAGTTATGGATACATGCTTACATATTAGAAATATAAAAGCATGCATGGGAATAATAAAGATGAAGTTCAAGGTAAGGTTATGAAAGGAGGAGGAAGGCATAGGAGGTTAACAGGAGATGGCTTCACATGCTGCGAAATAAGAGGGGTTTGGGGGTAGATGAGTGTCCTTTACGATACTATCTACACTTCTCTAAATGCATGGAAGATAACACAAATCTATGCTTTTATTGTATGTCGGTACATATTTTTATTTTAGAATAGTTTTAGATTCAGAGAAGATGTGCAGCTAGTAGAGAGAGCTCCCATGCATACAGTGCACTAAGTCTCTCTACTGTTGTCATCTTACAGCAGCAAGGTATGTGTGTTACAATTAGTGAACCAGTATTGTTAACTAATACTTAATTAGGACTTTACAGCTTTAACCTAGTGTTCTTCCTCTGTTCCAGTGTCCCATCCAGGACATCACATTGCGTTCAGTTGTCATGTCTTAGGCTTTTCTTTGCTCTGACAGCTTTTCACTTTCCTTGGTGTTTTGTTTTTGTTTGTTTGTTTTAATTTTTATGGGGGGATGTAATTTAAGGTTTGTTTGTTTGTTTGTTTGTTTATAAGCAGAGGTACTGGGGCTTGCACCCAGGTGCATGCTAGGCATGCACTCTACCACTGGGCTATACCCTCCCCTACCCACTTTCCTTGTTTTTGGTGACCCTGACAGTGTTAATTACTGGGTAAGCATTTTGTAGAATCCCCTCAACTGGGATTTGTCTGGTGTTTTCTCATAATTAGACGGGTTACAGGTTTTGGAGAGGAAAGCCACGAAGGTAAAGTGCTAGCCTTACCACGTGATACTGAGGGTACGTACGATCAACATGCTTCATCACTGATGAGGCTGACCTTGATCACTTGGCTGAGGTTGTGTATGTCAGGTTTCTCCTCTGCAAAGTGTCTTTTCTCCCCTTGCCGTACTGTGCTTGTTAGAAGGCATTCACTATGGGAAGCCCACACGTAAGCAGTGGGATGTTATGTCCCACCTCTACATCATTTCCTTGGAACTCTTCGGCATGGGAAACTTGTCTCCTCTCTCATTTATTTATGTATTCAATCTTTTACTTACCTCCATATGGATATTTATTTTATTCCTTAGGTTAGAATCTAATATGACTTTATTGATTTTGTTGCTCAAAGTCTGCCAGCTTTGGCCACTGGGAGTTCTTTCAGATTATAAATTTGGTAAAATGCTTTTTAAAAGCAGCTTTGAGACAATTTACAAACCATACAATCCATCCATTTAAAGTGTGAAGTTCAAGGGCTTTTAGTATAGTCACAGAGTTGTGAGACCATCACCACAGTAAGTTTTAGAACATTTTCATCACTCCCCCATAAAAACCTACCCTATTAACGGTCAATCCCCATTTCTTCTCAACCATTCCCTAACGCTCTAGGTAATCACTAATTTTCTTTGTCTCTATAGATTTGCCTGTTCTAGACATTTCATATAAATGGAATCATACAATATATGATTCTTGTGACTGGCTTTCACTTAGCATAATATTTTCGAGATTCAGTATGTTGTATCATATATTAGTACTTTGTTTCTTTTTTACTGCTGAATAATATTCCATCATATAGATATACACTTTTAATTTATCCATTCAATATTTGATGAGCATTTGGGTTGTTTTCACTGTTTGGTTGTTGGGACTGATGCTGCTATGAACATTCTTGTACAAGTTGTCACGTGTACCTGTGCATTAGTTACCAGCATGATACACCTGTATTACTCTGCATTCTACCTGCCACATTCATGGTCATTCTACCTATTGGCTTAAGCTCTACTATTTAATTTTTTAATAAGGTTGTGACTATTTACTTGTTGAAACGTTTTGTATCATAAATTACTGTCTCTTTTCATTCTTTTGCATTCATTTTAGGGTTTTTTGTCAATTATTTTAAAATTCTGTTGTAGGTAAGTTATATCCAGGGATTTTATTTCAGGATAGACAAAAGGGCATTCCAATGTATTTTATATTAAAAGGAAAGGGTGTTGGATTTGAGAAAATTGGGGACCACTGGCTCTCTTCTTCCCCTCAGTCAGACTTAGGGACTCCTCCTATGCACCCCATACTTTGTATTTATTGTCACTAAAGCAATTATGCAATTGTATGATCATTGTTAACAGGTCTGTTCTCCTTTAAAGACTATGAGTGCTTTGTGGGCAAGAATACTGTCTTTTATTTATCTGTTTCCAGGGTCTAGACAGGTTGTAGCACTCAGTCAATATCTGCTGCATGATGAATAATGATGAATATATGAGAGGACCGTACACAGCAGCAAAGCAGGGATAGACGCTAGGTGGGAAGAAGGGATAAGCATTGGGTGCTGACATCTGATTCCAGACTCTGTCCCTCACTTCTGATCTGATTGCAGGTTGGCTTGCCTGGATCAGGGCTCTGATTCCATCTGGCAGAATTCCCTTCACCATCACCTGCCCCAGCTCCAGGTGGCCGGGACTCCGGATGCCCCGAGCTCTCAGTCGCAGTGGAACACGGCATTCACTTCCAGCTCTTTGTCTAGTGCCCGCTGGGTGAGAGCTGCCTTTCAGAATATTCGCGCCCAGACCTCACTGCTAGAACAGGCAGCAGTGAGACGCACACTGCTGCACTGGTTGGGCCCCATGACAGCGTGTTTAAGTTTAAGCTGAGTTCTCTTCAGTGTGTTGGTTTCCATCAAACTCCAAAATTCTAAAACCACCTTCTCCAGGAGTCTTCCTGCACTGCCACCCTGCCTTGGCCCCCACTGTGAAGTGCTCCACCACTCCCCAGTTAACCAGAGTGAAGGCACACCTCGTTTTGTTGTGTTTCACTTTATTGCACTTCGCAGATATTGTGTTTTTGACAAACTGAAGGTTTGTGGCAACCCTGCATCGAGCAAGTCTATCGGTGCCATTTTTCCAACAGAATTTGCTCACTTGGTGTCTCTTTATCACATTTTGGTAATTTTTGTAATACTTCAAACTTTTTCAACATTATTATATTTGTTATGGTGATCTGTGATCACTGATCTTTGATATTACCATTTTAAGTATTTTGAGGCACCAAGAACTTTATCGATAAATGTTGTATGTGTTCCGACTGCTCTACCCACTGGCCATTCCCCCATCCCTGTCCCTCTCCTCAGGCCTCCCTACTCCCTGAGACACAACAGTATTGAAGTTAGGCCAACTAGTAACCCTACATTGGCCTCTAAGTGTTCATGAGAAAGGAAGAGTCGAACGCCTCTCACTTGAAATCAAAAGCTAGAAGTGATTAAGCTTAATAAGGAAGACATGCTGAAGGCTGAGACTGGCATCTGGTGCCAGTCAGCCAAGTTGCGGCTGCAAAGTACAGTTCTTGAAGGAAATTGAAAGTGCTACTCCAGTGAACACACAAATGATAAGACAGTGAAACAGCCTTGTTGCTGATATGTGGGAAGTCTGAGTGGTCTGGAGAGAAGATCAAACCAGCCACAACTTTCCCTTCAGCCACAGCCTAATCCAGAGCTAGGCCCCAACTCTCTTCAATTCTGTGAAGGCTGAGAGGGATGAGGAAGCTGTAGAAGAAAAGTTTGAAGCTAGAAGAAGTTGGTTCATGAGGCTTAAGGGAAAAAGCCGTCTCCGTAACATAAACACACAAGGTGACGAGCACGTGCTGATGTGGAAGCTGCAGCACGTTACCCAGAAGATCTAGCTGAGATAACGAATGAAGTGGCCACCCTAAACAACAGATTCTCCGTGTGGAAGAAACAAGGAGATGCCAGCTAGGACGTGCATAGCTAGAGGGGAGAAGTCAATGCCTGGTTTCAAAGCATCAAAGAACAGGCTCTCTTGTTAGAGGTTAATGCAGCTGATCACAGTAAGTTGAACCAGTGCTCATTTACTGTTTTGAAATCCTGGAGCCCTAAAGAATTATGCTAAATCTACTCTGCCTGTCCTCTATAAATGGAACAACAAGCCTGGATGACAGCACATCTGTTGACAACATAGTTTATTGAATACTTTAAGCCCGCTATTGAGACCTACTGCTCAGAAAAAAAGATTCTTTTCAAAATATGACTGCTCATTGACAAGACATCTGGTCACCCAAGAGCTCTGATGGAGATGGACAGGGAGATTCATGCTGTTTTCACGTCTGCTAACATAACATCCATCCCTGCAGCCCAGGGGTCAAGGAGTCATTTTGATGGTCTTATTATTGAAGAAATACCTTCCATAAGGTTCTAGCTGCTATAGTGAGTAATTCCTCTGATGGATGTGGGCAAAGCCAATTGAAAGCCTTCTGGAAAAGATTCTCCATTATAGATGCCATTAAGAACAAGCTTATGGGAAGAAGTCAAAATATCAACATTAACAGGAGTTTGGAAGGAGTTGATTTCAACCCTCATGGATGCCTTTGAGGGACTCCAGACTCCAGTGGAGGCAGTAACTGCAGATGTGGTGGAAATGGCAAGCGAACTAGAATCAGAAGTGGAGCCTGAAGATGTGACTGAATTGCTGGAATCTCGGGATAAAACTTTTGCAGATGAGAAGTTGCTTCTTACGGATGAGCAACCAAAGTGATTTTTTGAGATGGAATCCACTCCTGGTGAAGATGCTATGAAGACTTAAAATGACAACAAAGGATTTAGAACATTACATAAACTCAGTTGATAAAGCAGCAGTAGGGTTTGAGAGGACTGACTTCAATTTTGAAGGACATTCCACTTTGGCTAAAAACGCTATCACACAGCATTGCACACTACAGAGAAATCATTCATGAAAGGAAGAGTCAATTGATGTGGCAAATTTCCTTCTTGTCTTATTTTAAGAAGTTGCCACCCCGAACTTCAGCAACCACCACCCTGATTAGTCAGCAGCCATCAACACTGAAACAAGATCCTCCACCAGCAAAAAGATTACAAATCACTGAAAGTTCAGAGGATGGTTAACATTTTTTAGCAAGAAGGTATTTTTAAATTAAGATATGTACATTGTTTTATTAAGACATAATGCTATTGCACATTTAATAGACTATGTTATAGTGTAAGTTCACTTTTCTTTATATGCACTGGAGAACCAAAAAATTTGTGTAGACTCGCTTTATGCCGTGGTCTCCGACAGAACCCGCAGTATCTCTGAGATGTGCCTGTAGTTAGCTTTCCTCTCCCTTGTTCCACTCATGACATTTGTCTGGTCCTATTTTTTGAATGCACAACTCTTCACCACTAACCTGTAACTTCTAAGGATCGAAACTGGGTTTTGCATTTTCGTATTCTCTTAGTGCCTTAGAACACTGTTTCAGACAACAAATGACAGGAGCAATATGGTGTATTACTTGTTTTGTACAAATGAAGATATTACAAGTTAATAAGTTCTATATATTTATATTATTAACAATGTTTTAAAATGAAGTGAAATTCAATTAATGGCGTACAGAATGGTGAATCTTTTCCCGAAGGTTTGCAACTGACTTTGCCTGCTCTAACGTGAGCAATTCAGTGGCATTTAGTACATTCATGATAGAACGCATCAACTCTCTGGTTCCAAAACATTTTTACCACCCCAAAAGAAACCCCTGCCCATTAAGCAGTTATTCTCTTGGCCCCTGGCAGGCAGTGATGTGCTTTCTGTCCCTATGGATGTAACTATTCTGGATATTTCATGTAAATGGAATCATATAAAATGAAAGCTTTTGTGTCTGGGTACTTTCACTTAGCACAGTATTTTTAAGATTCATATATGATATGTCACATGTCAATATTTCATTCCTTTTCATGGCTGAATAAATTAATTCTCTATATGTTATTTGTGTTGTCTTGCAGGTACATGTCATCTGCCTGATTTTACCATTAGATGGCACTACCTTCCTAAAAATTTCCCGGTCTGTCCCATACTAGTTAGTGAAATTAAACTGTGAAATTATATCAATTCAAGAACTAATTTCACTGCAAAGCCAATTGACGCCTAATAAATCTGACTTTATGGATGCTTTGACACTACAGTATACAATATGTTGTGGATCTGGTCACAATATACTGTTACAAGCAACAGTGACTTCCAGGTAAGTAGATACTACTTTTCAGATGTGTTTTTTTAAAATATCTATTTCATACTGAATTATTGTAACATGAATCTTTTTATTAAGCTGACAATAAACAATAATATCCCTGTTAGGACTGGAAAAACAAAATACTGTAGGGGATTTTGTAATGTCATTGTGAACTCTACATGATACTTGATTTGGTTTATAGACCTGGCTCCACCTATCAGCTAAAGGACCATCAACAAATCTCACTGGGCTTGCTTAACCGTCTAGAAAAGAAAGTAAATTAGCACCTTCCTTCTGGGATTTTATGAGTATCAAATGAAAAATATCTGTGAAAGCACACTGTCATCTAGGGAGCACTATGTTAATTGTTCCTAATTTTGAAGACTTAAAAATTCATACTCATGGGTATTTATGCATAAAAATGTTATTCTCTTTAAGGTAGTCAGTGTAATTAAGCTCAGGACTTACCCGGAATTTTAACAGTTTAAAAATCAATTTGTTTAGTTCAGTGAGGTGAGGTAAATTTGACTCGATTGAAATTGATTTTAGTATGAGAAGCATTTGTCTTTTCTGGTGATAATAGTTCAGAGCTTCTTTGTACATTTAGTGCCCAAAAGAATTTGACCTATAATAACCCTTAAGTATATAATGATAAATAAATGAGTTCTATTTCTTAAATTTCTCCTTTCTTTGACTAGAAGTTTCTTTAGGATAACAATAATTTTATTGTTTATTGAATTCTCATTACCAAACAATGCCTGACCATCAAAAACAAACAAAAACCCATTCAAACCAAAAAAAAAAGTGTTTATTGGATGCAAAATGGATAAATTAATAGATACAGATATTGCTACTAAAGATGCAGCAAATATAGGTTTAAAACAGTTTGTTGTTTTTAATTATTAACAGTTTATTCCAAAGTTATACGTTCTCCACTTGTTGACCTAGTTGCTTAATTAAAGCTGCCCAATCTGTAAGCATCTTTTGACAGATAAAATCAAAGCAAGTAGGTGGTGTTCATATGTAGGTTTATAAATGAGCGATGTGACCTAAATTTCTTAAAATGTAAGCAATACAGAGTTCTCTCCATGGGTAGGAATCACTGAGATTACGAAAACAGAATGAGCAGAGGCTTGGGGACAGATGGGTTAAGTGAGATAACACACACAAAGCATTCAGCTCAGTAGGGGGCTCCCAGCACCTTTGTGCTAATTATGTAAAGGCCTCTCTGGGTGGGTGGATGCAGCCCTGCAGGCCTACAGTTTAGCAAACAGAGTGAGGACTGAATTTCTGTCTCCAGACTCCCTTTGGCGGCAACCTTGCACAATGAACAACCTGCAGAACTATTTTTGGAGGCCCTCGGGCTAGCTATTGTCATCAAGAGACATCACTGGAGGCATCACAGAGTAGTCAGCCTCCCCAGTTTACCAGTGGATGCCTGGCAACACAGTAACCTGTCTGTGGCTTACTCACTCACTTGTAAAATGAGACAATGCTAATACTCACCTCACTGGGTCATTATGCAGACTGAATGAGCGAATGCATCTAAAACAGTGCATGGCAAATGTACATATTCCATAAAATGGTACATAATATTATCAATATAAGACTTGTTCCAATAACAGACAAGGCACAATGGCACCCTTTGAGGGTCTTGAGGCACGGGATTCAGGATGGTAAGGCTTTGAAGAGAGAGCCATGCTCTGCACACAGCTCCCGGATGAGAGTCCTATGACTAAGTGGTCTTGCAGAGAAGTAGGAGTAGCCAAACCTGACAGAGTACTGTCCAGATTTAGGGGAGCGGAATTCTTCCTTTTTAACTCTGTGATCTCATTCACTACCTCTGTTCCAATGACTTCCATGTAGATGCTCAATAAATATTTGTTGGTGAATTTATGAAGTAATTGGAAATGTCTACAGATCTTTGCTCTCCGTTGAGTGCTGCCAACTGGTTTGCTAGGACTGCTAGTTTATGCTGAAGTCAAATGAGGCAGTTTTCTCAATCTCTTCCCCAAGATGATAATTTATGACTCTTTTCCAAATACTGCAACATTCTTTTTTTAAACCTTCCAGATTGAACTTTTAATTAATAATTTATCTAATTAAAGTATGGCTGATTGACAGTTTTATATTAGTTTCAGCTGACATAGTGATTCAATATTTTAATAGTTTATACTCCACTTAAAATTTTATTATAAAAAAATGGCTGTATTTCCTTGTGTTGTACAATAGATACTTGTTGCTTATTTATTTTATACATAGTAGTTTGTGTCTCTTAACCTTCCACCCTTATCTTGCCCCTCCCCTCCCCCTCCCCTCTGGTAACTATTAATTTGTTCTCCACATCTGTGTGTCTGTTTCTGCTTTGTTATGGGCATTCATTTGTCTCTGTCACTGTACCCCCAATGATAGGAATGGTGCCTGACTTTTGGCTGGCAACTCGTATATGTTTATTTTTAAGTGAGTGCCATGTCACTGCTGTTAATTTGAAGTTACAGTACACTTCACTGAATAACAGTTTTGCTCATATTTAACTTGTGCATTTGTTTTTGTTTTATAATCATGCAAGAGCTAAAGACCTACAGAGCTCATAGCTAACATTTTTATAGGTACTTAAACAGCCAGCACTATGATCAAAATAATTCAAGCTGAGCTTGGTGATGGGGAAAACTGTGAGAAGTTTTTTACTCCTTTAAAAGGGGTTCCCACATTCCTCAAATGGTGTATAAGAAACAATGAGAGTATCTTGGGCTATCTGCCCTTTTTTTTCCAATTAATAAAGAAAATGGGAGTTAAACGTTAAACACCTGAGTCCCACCACTTTCTAGCTGCGTGATCTTGTACAAATTACTTATCATCACCTGCCTATAGTTTGAGAGGATTGAATGAGATCATGCTTGAAAGGAGCTTAGCACGAGGTGCAGGCAGGTAAGGTTCTCAAGGAACTGTTCTACATTTTGCTAATTCTTGGGAGGCAGGGAGTAACACTGAATCCTTCTCAAAGCACCATATCCTTTCCTCCAAAACAGTTACTGCAGCTGGAAGTTCCGTATTTGAAGAATCATATAATTGAGTTTTCCCTCCTGAAATGTCAGGAGCTGTGTTTTGCTCACTCTTGCTCTCTAGCGTTCTCATCTCACAGACTCAGCGGAAACGGCGGTGTAAGTTCTAACACTAAACACAAGGGGGTAGCATTCTGCCACCCATCCCTACCTGGGCTCCACTCAGAAACCTGATTTTCAGAAAGTGCTTTTTTAAGCCTATCTTAGTCAAGGAAGCAAATTCATCACTCCTTTAAGACTCAGGCTTACTGTTTTTCTTCACTGTCTAGCCTTCTGTAGAAATAAAAATGAAGTCTAAAAGCCTGACTTATATTTGTATTCAGGACATGTTAATAAGGAGTTGACACAACAAAATATTTAAACTGAAGCTGGCTATCCCTCTCTATTGGGTAAAAAACGATATTGCACATAAGGTGATTATCTGTGCTCTCTTAAACACTGATTTGCTCTGTTAGTCATCATGGATCCTTTCCAAAGGAAACTGCTAACCCTGAATACTCTATTCCATAAATATTTACTGAGTGCCTTCTACATGCTAGGGATTTTTCTCAGCGCTGGGGATTTAATGGAAGACAGACCAAGATTGTATCTTTGCATTTAGACTGGTGATGTCCTGCCAGGAAAGGGAGGGAGCGATATACCCGTTTGCAGAGGCTCGACACCCTTGAAAGAAAATCTTAGATCTGTTAAGATGGAAGAGGATTTAGAGATTATCTAATGGAAACTCAGATGCCTAAGTTAACTAATTTATTTGTTATTTATTTATTAAATAAATAAATAAAATAGGCCAGGTGGGGACTACTATTAAGTGATGAGCAGGAGTCCAATTTAAAGACCACTCTCTCCCAAACAGTTCAGATTAGAATTATCTTCTCTCTTTTTTAAATTTTAAAATTTTATTTATTTATTTATTTATTTATTTATTTATTTATTTATTTATTTATTTATATTGACGTACAGTCAATTTACAATGTTGTGTTAATTTCTGGTGTATAACATAGTGGTTCAATTACACATTTATATTTATTCCTTTTCATATTCTTTTTCATTATAGGTTATTACAAGGTAGTGAATATAATTCCCTGTGCTATACAATAGAAACTCATTGTTTATCTACTATATATATAGTAGTTAGTATCTGCAAATCCCTAACTCCCAATTTATCCTTCCCCACCCCCTATCCGCTCTGGTAACTGTAAGTCTTTTTTGTCTGTGAGTTTGTTTCTGTTTTGTAAACAAGTTCATCTGTGTCCTCTTTTTTGGTTTTCACATGTAAGTGCTATCATAGGGTATTTTTCTTTCTCTTTCTCGCTTACTTTGCTTAGTATGATGATCTCCAGGTCCATCTATGTTGCTGCAAATGGCATTATTTTATTCTTTTTTATGTCTGAGTAGTATTCCATTGTATAAATATACCACAACTTCTTTATCCAATCATCTGTCGATGGACTTTTAGGTTGTTTCCATGTCTTGGCTATTGTAAATAGTGCTGCTATGAACATTGGGTGCATGTATCTCTACGAGTAAGACTTTCTTCCAGATATATGCCCAGGAGTGGGATTGTTGGATCATAGGTAAGTCTATTTTCAGTTTTCTAAGGAATCTCCATGCTGATTTCCATAATGGCTGTACCAAACTACATTCCCACCAGCAATGAAGGAGGGTTTCCTTTTCTCTACACCCTCTGCAGCATTTATTGTTTGTGGACTTTTGAATGATGGCCATTCTGACTGGTGTGAGGTGATACCTCATTATAGTTTTGATTAGCATTTCTCTGATAATTAGGGATATTGAGCATTTTTTCATGTGCCTATTGGCCATTTGTATGTCTTTACTGGAAATGTTTGTTTAGGTCTTCTGCCCATTTTTGGATTGGGTTATTTGTATTTTTGTCATTGAGTTGTATGAGCTGTTTGTACGTTCTGGAAATTAAGTCTCTGTCAGTCGCATTGTTTGCAAATGTTTTCTCCCTTTTCCCTCAATATACACACACACATGCACACACACCCCTTCTCCTAAAGTCACCGAACAGAAAGAATCACACTAGGGAAGGTGGATTCAGAGAACTAGAGGGATGAGGGGGCAAGACAAGTCACCTTGTTCTCCAGCCCACCCCTCCCCAAGTATTTTTTTCTTTTTCTTTTTCTTTTTTTTTTTAATTGGAGGTACTGGGGATTGAATCCAGGACCTCATGTATGCTAAGCATGTGCTCTACCACTGAGCTATACCCACACCCCGACCCCAAATATTTTTAGAAACAAACCTGTTCAACTCAAACTGTGCTAAATATTGAACAATGCAAAACCACAACATGAACAGTGACCAAGGGCTAAGGTATAGGTGAGGTCACTGTTTTCCTCTTTCCTCAGAGAATTTTCTAGGCCACTAAGAGAGCTTCCCTTTCTGAATCTGGTTCTTCTAAGCCTTCTGTCAGATTTCAGGAGGAAGGGCCTGGCCCACAACCAGCTCAGGGGCCATCAGACGAGAAGTGAGATTGGCTAGCCGTGTCTTCCTCCCTTGTCGTTCGTGAGTGTGACAAGGATGTGAGATTGAGGCAGTCTCTGGGGCCAGATTTTCACAAGGGAATTTGGGTATTGATTTTTCATGAGAACCCAGAAATCCGAAGTTTCATGGGAAAACTCCCAATTTTAGAAAGCTGCCAATGAATAAGAATTATCTAAATGCTGTGAAGGCCAACCCGAGCTCATCTGAGAGCTAAATTTGCCTCATTGTCCAGTAGATTAACCTCCAGCCTAATTACATCCTCTGATTTTACAGATGAAATAACAGGCTCAGAGACGTTAATGACTTGCCCAACATCACCACATCATCTGTAATTTTTCCACTTACTCAATAAAATAGCTGAAAAAAGTGGAGGAAATGGCTGACAACTAGTGACACAACTATTGGTGATTTAAAATAAAAGGTTAGGTGTGACATGAGCCATCTGCTTGGCAATGTTGGTACTGAAGCAATTCAAAAGAGTATGATTGATGCTGACAACGAATGCAGTGCCTAATGTGGAAGGGGAGGGTGTATGTAGCTCAGTGGTAGGGTGCGTGCTTAGCATGCACAAGGTCCTGGATTCAATCCGCAGGACCTCCACTAAAAAGTAAAAATAAAATTAATTTAAAAATACATAAATAAACCTAATGTGGAAAATGATGATTATTGCAGAGGGGATAGTGAGAAAACAAAAGATGCACTACTCTGGCTGCCATGGGGTACCAGCAGGCACCATGATGATGCTCTCAAATGCGAGGCGGTAACTATGATGACAACAGTATATTGGAAAACAGCTGCAGGATCACATATCAAGAAATTCTGGGCAAGTCAGGCATTCTATTATTTCATAAATCTAATAAGACGAGGGTGTACTGATT